CAAACACAGGCAGCTGCTTGAATGGTGCCGGCCCGGGGCTACGCTGCGCCAGCTGCATGAGCAGAGCGTGCGGCTGCTGGCCGAGGGCGTGTCGGACCTGGGCCTGCTCCCCGGGCGCTCCGCCGGCGTCATCGCGCAGGGCGCCATTCGCGCTTTCTACCCGCACAGCGTGGGCCACTGGCTGGGCCTGGACACGCACGACGTGCCGGGTGTGGCACATGACACCCCCCTCCAGCCAGGGGTCACGCTGACTGTGGAGCCGGGGCTGTACATCTCGGACCAGGAGCGGTACGGCGCGCTGGCCGGCATCGGCGTGCGCATCGAGGACGTGGTCCAGATCAACGGTGCGGTGAAGAGTGGGTGGGTTGAGCAAGGGGTGAGGGGTGGGGAGGTGGGTGAGGACGTGGGCTGGGACAGGCAGGAAGGGCAGGTTGGTACACGATGCTCATCGCGTGGGTGTGCCGGAGATCGCCGAGTCTTGGATGCCGGAGCCGTCGACGTGGGCATCGATGACTGTCTGTCGCCCTGATCCCATTGATGGAAAAGGCGGTGAGCGCCTGCTGTCACGATAGGTCCTTACTTCGCTGTGTTAACCCACCGCAAGCCTCGCCCTGCCTCGCCGCAGACTCGCCGGGATGCTCAGTGCTGTCGCGCAGTGTGCCCACCGATGCGGACAGCATCGAGGAGTTCATAGCGCGGGGCCGAGGGGAGGGCGAGCCGGAGCTACCCTGAGGATACTGAGAGGCTGCCCTGGGAGGAGCCGCTGGGTCAGTGGAGGTCGCAGCCACCCAACCCCCCTTGTATGTCTTGCGACTGCCCAACTGCATGTGCATGCTTGCGCTGCATGTGTTTGCGGTGGACACCAAGTGACAAAACGATGATGAGGGGCGGCAGGGTGATGCAAGACGCAATAGGCAGACTTCAGCAATGGGCACGGGCTGCAGTTCAAGGCATGACGCCCAGCGTGCACAACAGATAGAACCTTAGGAACTGGAAAAGAAAGGGAGGACATGGGGAACTCCTTGAACAAGCGCGCTGGGACGGCGACAGACGGCAACAAGCGCGCCAGCACACTCCCAACTTGAATGTACGGCTTGCCAGGGGTCTGGCTTATCTCACAGGTACCGTGTCTTGGTGGCGTGGTACTGCGCGATCCTCTGTCGCGCATACTCCAGGTAGTCGAAGTCGACATCGGAGGTCTGGGCCTGTGGGTGTTTGAGCGAGGATGAGGGCTTCTGTCAGTGGAATACCCCAGCGATCGCAGATACTACCGCTGCTCATGTCTGCCTCCCCTTGATAGCATTCCGCCTCCCTTCCCCCACACAACCTCCCCAACACACACCTGCATGACGCCCCAGAGGCCCCACTTCAGGTGGGACAGGGGGACGTAGGCCTCCGCCTTCTGCACGAGCAGGCGGGCCAGGGCGCCGTGCTCCCGGCACCCGGCGTCGACCTCACCAGCGCAGACCCGCTCCGCCAGCCTGCCCGCCCCCGCCGCCGCCTGTGCCAGCATGGCGTCTGCGTAGGCCTCCGCGAAGGCCGCCTTCTGTTCATCCCCGGGCAGCGCGGCAAAGTCCAGCACGTGGGCCTCCCCCGAGTGGTAGTCGGCCGCGTACTCACACCAGTGGTTGGCCACGTCGAAGGCCACGTCGTTCAACGTGGCGTACTCGTAGTCGATCAGGCGTATGTGCTCCGTCGCCGCGCGGGGCGAGGGCGGCGAGCCGGGCTCCGGGGTCGCGTCGCCGCCGCCCGCCGCCGCCGCCAGACCGGGGTCTGCGCTGGGGTAGCTGAGCCCCAGCGCGTCGCCCGACGCCAGCACGGCGCGCGGGCTGCCCGGCGGCGTGGCGGACTCCTCGGCCGGGCCCGCGGGGGATCCCTGCGGCGATGCGTCCCGGCCGGGGCAGAGGAGCATGTTGCCGTACTGCAGATCGTTGTGGCAGAAGCCGAGCCAGAGTGGGAAGGTGGACTCGTGGTAGCGCCGCAGCTGGGCCACCTGAAGAGAGTAGATGAGTGGTGCATACGTGTGTGTGTGGTGGAGGGGGATGAAGGGGGAAGGGGTGCACGGTACACATCAGGAGGGCGGGCCACAAAGGAGTGGCAGGGGTGAGTGGACCCTTCCGATGCAATGTAGGCCCTGGGATCAGTTCACAGCACGATCCAGAGGCAGCAGGGCTGCCCACACCACCTCCCCAACCCCCCTTCCCTTAACCAAGGTTCAAGGCAGCTTACCTCGTCCATAACGTCCTCCAGGCCAAGCTCCTGCAGCAGGGCGGGTGCCAGGCCGGTGGCGGTGGCGTGCCACTTGCCGATGCGCCGGAAGATGGCGGGCTGGTCATTGGCCCCCACGGCCCCGCGAGCGGCGCGCTGGGCCGTCATGCGCACGTGGAACACGGCCAGGGCGGTGGCCGTCAGCTGCACGATCTCGGGGGCGCGCATGGTGGCCGCGGACAGGGTTGCCCCCGGGATGAACTCCTCCACCCTGCCACCCTCGAACTCCACCAGGCACCGCGGGCCGATGCCCGTCTGGCCCGCCAGCAGAAACACGTCCCGCTCCTCCTTCTGACTGAACAGGGAGTTGCCCGGGCCGAACAGCCGGACGATGACGGTGGGGTACGCCTCCGCGGTGGGGCAGGTAGAGCGGAACACCAGGTTCGTCATGGCCCCGGAGATGCGCTCCGTTACCACGGTGCTGGTGTCCACCTGGGATACAGTGTCGTGTGGAAGTATGTATTTGGTTTTGACGTTCGTGGAAGTTGGCCTGGCGGTGCCGCGCAGGTGCGGGACCCCCCTCACCTCTGCCCAGCCAGGGATGGTGTTGAAGACGGGGCCCAGCTCCCTGGAGGGGTTGTCCAGCACCCGCCGAGAGTTGAGTCTGGTCAGTGTCTTTCCCCGGGCGTCAGGGCTCCATGCCGGGTCGGACATGGCTGTGCGCGACGAGCGTGCCGCCAGCAGCAGTAATGCTTCTGCAACTAGCACAGTCGATCCAAGAGCGTCGAAGCGCGTTTGCTGTCAGCTTTGCTGGGTGGTGCTACAAAGTGAGGTTGCTTGTGTACTAGAATGGTGGGGCTTGACTCTCAAGTACCCGCAAACAGAGGGAGGCGCTCCGACAACCCAGCATGGACACGTCGGCAGGCGGCGAAGGGACGTTCCAATTCTGTGGGAAGCTAAGAATGGATCCAGGGAGTGAGTTTGTATTCATCCCCCAGGTCAACCCTCGGAATCAGGCGCAAGCAGTCCCATTGGAGAGAGCATATGTCTGACCCCTTTAGTGACAATTGTAGCTTCTAGTAGGGGTCAAGGGGTTTGGTGAATAGCAGGCAATTGTAAGGGACGTATGCTCATATCCATGGGTTCCTCTACAGCATCAGTGTCGCAACAGGACATCCTTGACAAGCACTGGACAGAGTTTAGATCGCTAGTTGATGTCAAGGGGTCACACACTCTCGTATGAATCGCATATACACTGCATTCAAACCCCAGCAGCGGCAGCATTTCAAGATCCCCAACGAATTAAGATTCGCATTCTACACCATTTTTCATGCGTAAAGCTCACCGTGAGATTTCTCCTTAATTTTTGCCTCTGCAAAGGCAGAGATCCTGGAAGGTCTCAAAGATTGGGTCACACTTGGGCTTGCGTCTTTTGCTCTCAACTATCTAACAGAGTGATACATACATGCACCCAACGCGCTTGCGAGGCTGTAGTGCTAAGCAGCAGTGTTTTGCTGTTGGGGTGTCTGTCCAGGAAGTGTGCACATCTATGATTCTGCCACTTTCCAACATCTCTTTGCATCATACACCCCCGCACAAGAGACGTTGCCTTGAACGCAAAACTATACAGGCCGAGTGGTTCGATCTGCAATCTGCTTCCAACCCCCCCTATGGCCTGTTGTGCACCGGATGGGCTCGACCCCAACACACAGGTCCCCATCTCAAGATCAAGATTCAAGAAAGCGCGGATTGGGACAGCAAACCTGTGCTGTGGAATGGAATGCATTGCGCACGCAGCCTCACGACTGGTCATCCTGCTCCCTCACTCAGCACGCGTGATTGAGGAGGTATAAAACACCCGCAGATCGACGCCGTGCCCGACGCAACTCATTCCTAAAGCGGACACGTCCGGATCCCCCATACTTTGAACCCGCTGACATGCTCGGGGTCTAGATTGCCGACTTGACATGGAGCTGCGGTGGAAATTGTGCTGCTCCCTCGCCGTCTTGCTGGCGTGGGGGCAGTGTGTCGCTGGAGACGAGAGCACCCACCGGGTGCGTCTGGTGGGCCTATGCAGCCCGGCCAGCATCCACCTTGCTGGTTCCAGGCACAGGACGAGGTGGACGTCATGCGCGGACTCCTTCAGAGCCCCTATCTGATCTTGTCAATTGATCACGCTCGCCCCTGCTCGTGGGTGCCCCCGGGACTCACCCCGATCTCCCCACCCCCGCAGTATGAGGTGGGCGACCCCATCACCCTGTGGGTGAACAAAGTGGGACCCTACAACAACCCCCAGGAAACATGTGAGCTGGAATTTGGTGCAGGGGCGCTGGAGAGGGAGGGGAGATGGGATGCAGGGGGTTGCAGCATGCTTGCTGCCAGGAGTCTGGGCTGTCGTGTGTGTGAATGGACAGGAGCCCCGGCACGTGTGGGAAGCAGTGGGGTTCCAACCCGCCCCTTGCCCTGCATTTGCCCATGCATTCTCCAGCCCCTTCAGCCCCTCTCCCCCCTGAACCAAACCTCCCCCCGCGCCGCACAGACAACTACTACCTGCTGCCCTTCTGCAAGCCCAAGCCAGGGGAGACCCCGCGCCACAAGTGGGGCGGTCTGGGCGAGGTGCTGCAGGGCAACGAGCTGATCGACTCGCAGGTGGACATGGCCTTCCGCCGCGACACGGCGCGCGCCACGCTGTGCTCGGTCCACCTGGACGACGCCAAGACCGGCGACTTCATCGAGGCGGTGCGCCGCCACTACTGGTACGAGTTCTTCCTGGACGACCTGCCCATCTGGGGGTTCGTGGGCCCGCCCCCCGAGGCCGCGCGCGACGGCGAGGCCACCTACATTTACACCCACAAGACGCTGGACGTCGCGTACAATGGGGACCGCGTGATCCACGTCAACCTGACCAGCGAGGCGCCCGTGGCGCTGACCTCCGGCACCACCCTCGACTTCTCCCTCTCCCTGGCCTGGCATGCGGTGGCCACGCCCCACGCCCGCCGCTTCGAGCGCTACCTGGACTACTCCTTCTTCGAGCACCAGATCCACTGGTTCTCCATCTTCAACTCCTTCATGATGGTCATCTTCCTCACCGGCCTGGTGGCCATGATCATGCTGCGCACGCTGCGGCGCGACTACGCGCGCTACACGCGCGGCGACGCCGGCGACGACCTCGAGTCGCTGGAGCGGGACGTGGGCGAGGAGTCCGGCTGGAAGCTCGTGCACGGCGACGTCTTCCGGCCCCCCGCCCGCCTCGACCTGCTGGCCGCGCTGACGGGGACGGGGGTGCAGCTGGCGCTGCTGGTCGCCGCCGTCATCCTCATCACCATCGCGGGCACGCTCTTCGTCGAGCGCGGCACCATCGTCACCGTCTTCATCGTCTGCTACGCCCTCACCTCCTTCGTGGGCGGGTGAGGGAACGCCGTGTGTGGGGGGGGTGGGAGGGGCGGGGGGGGAGCAACTCCTGGTGGAGGAGCGGAGCGTGGATGGTCGGTGGAGAGCGGGTGCGCGGGGGGCCCTCCAGCGAGCGGGGGCGCGGCGACAGCCGCGCCTTCCGGCGCGCGTGGCGCTGGGTGGGACGGCGCCCGGGCCCAGGACTCCCATGCTGCACTGCCCTCCCACCGCTGCCCCGGAACGGCAAGCATTCTTCCGGCCGTTTGCTCGCTGGGCCCCATCCCACGCCAACCAACCCCCCCCCCCCGCCCAACTTCCCCCCCTCCACATCCAAGGTACGTCTCCGGCGGCTTCTACGCGCGCAACGACGGCAAGCTGTGGATCAGGACGATGCTGCTCACCGCCACCGTCTTCCCCCTCACCTGCTTCTCCATCGCGGCGGTGCTCAACACCATCGCCATCTTCTACTCCTCCCTGGCGGCCGTGCCCTTTGGGTCCATCGTCGTGGTCCTCCTCATCTGGATGTTCCTCTCCTTCCCCCTCTGCCTCTTCGGCACCGTGGTGGGCCGCAACTGGAACGGCGCGCCCGACTACCCCTGCAGGTGCAGCAGTGGATGTGATCCTGGGGAAGGAAGGGATGGAGTGAGGGAGGGGGCACAGGGGATCAATCAGGGCCAAGCCTAGGGAGCGAAAGCACCCGTCACCCCCGCCACCTGGGGCCCCCTCACCCCGTCGCTGCCCGTGACGCCGCCATGGCCTTGCCGACGCCCTCCATCCTCACCCCACTCCCTTCTCCAATCTCCCCCCAGGATCAAGCGCATCCCGTCCCCCGTGCCGGAGAAGAAGTGGTACCTGAGGCCCCTGGTCATTGCCCTGGTGGGAGGCCTGCTTCCCTTTGGCTCCATCTTCATCGAGATGTACTTTGTGTTCACCAGCTTCTGGAACTACAAGGTGGGCAGGGGGGGTCCTAGCGGATGGGTAGGCCCGAACTGACTGCCATCGTGCGCTGTGGGGACAAGGCACAGGCGGGACTGCGGGGGTGGGTGCACACGGATACCCTGGCTGGGCTCACCCTGCATCCACACTGCACCCACGCCCCCTCCCATGCCCAACAACCTCCTCCCGCCCAGGTATACTATGTCTATGGGTTCTTCCTGCTGGTGTTCCTCATCCTGATCATCGTCACCATCTGCGTGACCATCGTGGCCTCCTACTTCCTGCTCAACGCGGAGAACTACCACTGGCACTGGACCTCCTTTGGGGCGGGGGCATCCACATGTGCGCGGGGAGTGGGGTGGTGGCCTTCCTTCTTTCGGAGCGGGGGAAGGGAGGAAGGGGCTGCGTGGGCGTTTGTAATGGAGCTGTAGGTCCCCTGCTGGAGCGAGCTGCCTGGATGCATGCAGGCCTGGGATGGAGGCTTGAGTTGCTCAGCAGCAGCAACATCATGGCTTGACTGCTCTTTCACTCGTGTGCTACCCTCCAACCCTTGCCCTGCAGCACTGTACGTGTTCCTCTACAGCGTACACTATTTCTTCTGGAAGGTGGGTGGTCTGCTGGAGGCACGCATGCAGGGGCGGATGGGGTTGGTTCGGGGACTGAGATTGCTGCATTTCACGGCATGCAGGGCGTTTCCAGAGGAATGTCCTGCACCTCGGTACAGCCAAACCCAGCTTTCCTTCCGCACCATACCTTGCTGCAGACCAAGATGACCGGCTTCTTCCAGACCGCCTTCTACTTTGGTTACACGCTCATGTTCTGCGTCGGTGAGTTTAGTGAGGGGCACGTGCCAGGGCCCGAGGCTGCGACTTGTGCTTTGCCTCCTCGATTGAACCTTGCAGGGGAGGCATCCTGGACACCCTAGCGGCTCCGGGGCCAGTCCTTCCCACCATCCTTCCACTCACCCCACCCTCTGCAGGCCTGAGCGTGATGTGCGGGGCGGTGGGGCACCTGGGAGCAGGTGTGTTCGTGAGGCGCATCTACCGCAACATCAAGTGCGATTGAAACGAGCACGACCTGCGCTCTCCAGCGCCACGCCATGCCAGCCCATCCTGGCGCAAACCCAGTGCCGCTCCTTTCCTTCGCTTCTGCTACAAGATTTGCATGAAAAACGAAAAGAAGATGGGGCTGTGGGGTCGTCGGGAGGGCGACAACCGCAGCGCCAGCAAGACATCAATTGGCACTTTGAACGCGCAGCATGTGCGGGGAGGGTCGGACGGTTTCAAGCTCCACCTGTACATGCCTGTCGCATGCTCAGGGACGGATTCGCTGTTGCACCACCGAAACTGCGATTGTGAGACTTGTTCTCGCGCCTGCAGCCCGCTCGTGTTGGCATCGGGCCGTGCGCTGCGGCTCTTAGACACCCTTCCTCAACCCTGGCCGGCCCAAGATGGAATCCAATCAGGTGGCCGAGGTCGTCATAGTCGCCTTGTGCGGCACAGTTCTATTGATCTACAACATGCAGTATTTCTTGATAGGAAAGAAGGGGATCTTCAGGCGGCACGTCTCCATGTGGAGCGTGGGGGTGGAGTGCCGGAAGGAGTGGGCGATCCGCATGATGTCAGGTGGGGAAATCGGGCAGATTGACTCCAGAGTGCTGGCGGTTGGGGCATGCATTCATGAATGTCCCTGATTGACCACTTGCTCGCGGGATTGATGAGACTTGAGACCGGGAGGGAGGTTGCTGAGGGTGGGAGCTTATTGGTGTATGCCAATGTGCAAACTGGGACTCGCCTCCAACACCCGTGGCCTCCCCAAATCCACAGATCCAAAGGAGGGCATCACTGCCATCCAGGGGCTGAGGAATGGCTCCCTGGGGGCAACCATCCTTGGCACAGCAGCTGCCCAGCTGGCCTCGCGAACGCTGGCCATCATGACCAATCCGGAGCAGCTGCAGCAAGTAGCCATGTTTGGCAATGATGACCCCATCACAGGAGGTGAGTGGGCCTGGTGTGACTGCATGAAGCTGGATGGCTGCTGTCTGAGTCATGTATGACCGGCTGGAGGGGCTCCTCGCGCAGATGCCCAAGCAAGAAAACGCATGTGGGTTTCACCGTGATGCGCCCGTGAGCAAGGCTCAAGCATTCGCATCCAGCATCATCCACTCTCCGCATGCCTGCCCCACCCACTCACACCCCACCCTCGCAGACGGAAAGTCCATCGCCAGCCCCCAGTTCAAGCTGGCCTTGGCGCTGGGCACCCTACTCCTGTCTGTCATGTGCCTGGCCCAGTTTGTAAGGTTTTCCCTGCACCTGGTGAGCCTTCTTGGGTGCTTTCATCTGCGTGGGGATGGGGAGCTACCAGTCCCTGAACTGACCGTTGCCCCCAGGTTGCCTGCCTGTATTCATCTTCTGGACGCCTCGGCCGCCTCGTAAAGTGGTGTGCCCGGCGTCCCTTGGGACGTGGCGAGCCAAATCATCATGTCGATGAACTTCGCAGTACCCCAAGTACCTCATCCACCCCACTGCTGCAGATGTTTGTCATCCAGGTGGTGGCGGGGAACCCGATCAAGTACTCCCACCTCCTCAAACTCACGCGCGTCTTCATCAAGCGCTCCTCCATGTACTTTTCGCTGGGCCTGCGCTTCCTCTTCCTCTTCCTTCCGGCCATCATGTGGTGAGGCTGGGGTTCTCGTGCTGCTGGCCCGGCTAGTCCCTGTGGCGTGTGCAGACCTGGACACCCTGTCGCAGCGCACGCAAGACTGTCTGAGCCTGGGAGACCCAGTCCAGCGGTGCACGGCTGCGCCCATCCGCCTGGGCGAGCAGATCTGAAGAGGGATACCCTTGTCCCGCAACCACTATTCCCAGAACGTCACCCCCTCCTCCACGCCCCAACCCCGACGCACAGGATCCTGGGGGTGACTGCGCTGCTCATCACTACCGTGATCGAGGTGGGGATCATGCTGGCCATGGACATCGTGCCCGTGGATGGCAGCTGGCTGGCGGAGCATGAGGCGCTACGGGCCGCCGACGAGGCCGAGCTGCTGGCCTCCACCCACCTCCTGCCCAAGAGCACCCCACCGACGCCGGGCCAGGCGCCGGCGCAGGCCGCGGGGGGGGCCGCCGCCACGGCAGACCCGCCCGCCGCGGGCAAGGCTGAGCCAGGCGAGAAGCTGCAGCCGCCGCCGCCGTTGCCGCCGCCGCCGCCCCTCGGCGCTGCTCAACAGCAGCCCTCGACCTGACGGTGATCCTTGGTGTCCTTTTCTTCCTCCATTTGCACCACAGCACCTCTGATATCCAACCATACTTGGGGCGGAGCCCTTGGCCAAGCATGGCTGGCCATACTGCCCCTGCATATACACAATGCACAGTGCATTCTCTTTCTCCCCAATCATCACTCTGCCAGGTGTGACCTGCATTTCAAGGCCAGAGCAGGCTACTGCAGACCACGCGCAAGGCCCACTCACTGCAAGGCACAGACGTGATCCAGATGGTCAGCTGAAGAGTCAGGTGTCTGTGTGAAGGCAGCAGGGACCGGCAAGACAGTGAGGGCGGTGAAAGGGGCCCAGCAAGGGACAGGGAAGGTTCATTTTCATCAGGATTTCACAGGCCATGGCCGTAGCTTGCGACCGCCAGGAGGAGCGCCGGCCCCTCCAGGCTCCGGGGCCTGCTCTGCCCAAAGGCTCCCCCGCTCGCGGGGTTTTGGGAGGGTGCGGACGCGGCGGTGCCTGAGGCCGCCCGTGTGGCCTGCGCCCTGCGCTGCCACGCAGACCTCACGGGGCCTCGGGGGTCCAGCGGCCCACCGGCAGCCGTGACGCCATCTATGGCTCGACACAGCGCCTCGGAGTGCTCCTACATGGTATCACATGGCGCGGAGGGTACTGTGAATGCAGATACCTTGGTTTGAGTGGAAAGGGCGTGTTCCATGCTAGACAGAGATTGGGAAATAGGGGGCCAGTGGGCCGGGACGCAGCCAGACCCCCTCTCCGACCTCATTAGCCCCTACAAGCGCCTTCCATGCAAGCCTCTCACCATGATCAGCGCCAGCTGCTGCTCCGGGGGCAGCCCCGAGGTGCCGGTGGCCGCATGCAGCCCCTCCAGCAGCTCCGCATCCCGTGCCTCCATCTCTGGCAGGGCCTTGCTGGCCAGGAGGATGGGGAGGACGTGGGCATTGGACTGGTTGACAGAGATGGGGTGCGCCACATAGTGCTTCAGCAGGGGGCGCAGTTCCTCCTCCAGCTGCTGCCACTGCACGTTGAGCACCCCATACCGCTCCAGGGCATCGGACCTTTTGTGACAGGAGGGGTGGGGGTTGAGACCGGAGGCATGCTGAGGGTCTTCCCTGAACAGAATCAGGTGGGTCCCCAGGTTTGCTGCCCCCCATCGCCTCACCATTGCACCCGGCTGGCAGCAACACTAAGGGCGTGCATGAGCTGATCAATGGAACGGCGCAGCTCCTCCGCCCGAGATCGAACCTGCGCGGGGTCGGTGGCCGGTAACCAGGTTGTGGCAGGAGCCAGCCTGAGTACTGGTAGAACCCCTCCCTCCCTGCGCCCCCCAATCCAAAACTCACCGCAGCCAGGTTCATCTCCCCTTTTCCCGAACCCATCAACACGCTCTTTATGCTTGCTGGGGTTGCCATGGATCGCGCGCACGGATGCTGATTACGAAGTTGTCGGCCTCCCGGGAGATCACTTGCCACCCGTAAGAGCACTTCTTGAATGGTACAAGCGAGAATCTGACAAATACGAGAACTCAGTCACTTGCAAATATACATGGTGAAAAGATCAGTGAGCGAATTTTCCTCCTGAGGCATGCGAGTACGTTTATGAACGTTTAGAGTGATGGAGCGATATCGCCCTTCCCCTCCTCATCCACATGGTCTAAGCTTGCTGTTTCCCCACCCCCGAGGATTATCATCCTTCCAGTCGTCCATGCTCCGCTCCTGTGTAATGAGAGGGCACAGACTCCCTTATCACGTGTTGTCCAGGTGATTGCTCCTCCCATGCCTGGAGTATGCGCTGCTGCACGCCTACATAGCGCTGGTGCTGAGGATATGCTGCCATCTCACCAGCATTCACACACCCCAGCGCTCCCATCAACAATCAAACCAGAGCTCAAACGCCCTAACTCCACACCAGTACCTTTTGCTTTGCAGCAGCGTCGTCATCCTCATCATCTGACCGCCGGCCAGCCTCCGCCCTGGCCTTCTCCCTCGCCGCTTCCTCCTCACGTTGCGCACGCTGAGCAGCCGCCCGCGCCTCCAGCTCCCCAAACTGCTCAACGCTCATCGTGGGCAGGATGTGACTGGGCTTGAACACGTTGTCACGCACCTGCTGACGCTCACCTGCGGCAAGGGAAAGCAGTGCTGGGAGGTGGACATGAGGGAAGCAGTATGGTGATCAACCGGGAGGAGGGATCAGCATGTCAAACACAAACTGGTCAAGCATTGTCAGCACATGTCACCCATGCAACCAATGCACCAAGCCCGGTCTCCAGCGCACCATGCTGCAGGCCTTGGACCACCCCACGCAGTCCCTGCAAGAGCTCGCCCGCTTTCTCGGTGCGGCGCCGGTCTGCGACACCCACAGCCCCCCCCCCCGGCGCCGTCGGCAGGGACGAGGCATGCTTGAGGAGGGGCACCTCCCCATCGATCATTGCCACGTCATCAATAGCTGCCAGCGCTGCAGACTCGAGGTGCAAGAGCCAGGCTCTTCGCCTGGCATCTTCATCCGATGCCTCCCTGAGATCTGCATCCTCCATGGTCCCCTCCCTCTCCAGCAGCGCAGCAAGCTCCTTTCTCCTGTTTATGAGAGGGGTACGAGCATGGTGAGAGGGCAGAGAAGGAGCCTTGGCGGGATGGGTTTGTAATGTGATGGAGGTATCAATGGATGCACTGGAGCAGGCTTGCCAAATGCCCCCCCTTGTGTAGACTCAGCCACTATGGTCAACACCTAAGGCCAGCACAAACCTGTGCAAGGTGCCTCACCACCCACCTCTTGAAGAAGGTTATCTTGCGTTGCCGCACCGTGGCGGCATCCAATGGCAGGGCTTCTCCCTCGCGCTCCTGATCGAGGATTTGAGCGGCAGCCTCGTTTGCTGTGCCAGCGAGCATTTTATACTGGACGAGCCGGAGGAGGAAGGCGCTGAAGGAGGCCCGTGCCGCCAAGAGCACCGTCTTCCTCTGGTCCCGGGACTCTGAGCATGAGTAGATGTGTGTGGGGGGGGTTGCTTCAGGGATGGATTGCATTGCCATAACATAGAGGTGTCGAAATTGGGGGGTTGCTGCTGCTTCACGCTGCATTACAACAGCACAAAATGTAAGACATTCTGCCACCCTTCTCCAGGATGCTATGCAAGAATGAATACGGCATGGAATAATAATTAACGCGTTGAGAAGTTGACATCACTACATGATTTGCAGCACTGTCCCCCTGGCCAACCTGTAATGAAGGAAGAGAGAATGCTCCCTCTATAAGCAGGGAGGAGAAGGTACCGGATGTCTGCCGTGGCGAGATCGTCGACCTCTTCGTTTGTGGAGAACAGCCCAGACGACTCCACTCGCTGGGAGGTGGCGTTGATGAGGGACAGAGCCTCTCGTTGGAGTGCCAGCTTGCTGGAGGGCTCGGTGGTGCCGTCAATGCGCTTGAGCAGGGTCTGTATGTCTCTGAACGCCGTCGCCAAGGACATACCCTGAATCAGATTTGCAGTGAGGTGTAAATGAAAGAGCCATGCGTGGACGCCTGATAGTATAAAATTGTAATGCTGCGCACCTGTGACTCCACCCCGTCTACAGCCATGTCGTCAGCGGGGGTGCGCCCCAGCTTCTAGAGGTTCCGCAGGAGGAATGCTATGGCTCACACTCCATAAGAAATGATTTGAAAGCAAGCATGCAGATCTCCCTGCTCTCGCATGGCAGTGTGTCGGACCGAGTTCGTGGTAGAGCATGCGCAGCATCCCCAGGCCGTTCCGCCTCTTGAATCAGGAGATCACGTCGCACATTTACACCCGATCAGTATGCTACATTGTGGTGATGCATAACATTCTTATATCATAGAAATGATAAATACCATTGTCGATCCTGATGACAGATCTGCATGCCCTGCTCGGCAAGGCCATCCCCGACCCCAGGCGACTGCGCTGGACCAATGGTGGGGCTCAGCTCTCCCTTGCAATCCATTGTGAGTACGTTGGCGACAACATTCGTTCTACGGAAGGCTTCCCCAGGCTAGATGGCTGCGCAAGTCACAATCGTCGGTCGATGGCGCACCCCTCCCTGCAGGCATATTTGCAGAGGCAAAGTTTGGAGTACTAGATAATGCTGGCAAGCGTCAACGCAATCCCTGGCTCCCTCCACCAGAATGGGAGTCGCGGCTGCCCACTGAATGGGTGTTCCAATACACCAGGCACGAACGGTCGTGATGGTTGGCAGTGAGGGGGGAAATACGTGCAGAAGCTGTTGCAAACAAGGCACATTACACACCCAGATTGTGTCAGCCTGGCAACCTTCCTGTGGGTAATACAGAGCCAGTTTCTTAAACCCCATTCCCATCTTTTGTCGTAGGGATGACATGGCCAATGGTTTCAGGCTGCACTGCTCCTTGCATGCGGCGACTGGCCGCATGTTTGCCCATGCCAGCGAGGTATTGCGAGATGGTACCCTAGTGGCCCACAACATCCAGGTCCTTGGCCTCCAGCTTCAGAAATACACGGTGGCCGGTCCCACTGTGGACCGGAGCTGGCGAGGTGGGGGGGAACAAGGAGGAAGGAAGACTGGAGGGGAGATGGGTCACACCATCTGGTCCTCCCGCAAGACACGTAAGCCAATATCCGACAGGACTCGCTCAGCCCTCCTTTCTCTCCCTTTCCTGTTGACTCAGATATCGTTCAGAACGAGAGTGCACTGGTAGACATGGTGCGGCAGTACCTCATCCACCCACTCCTGGACCAGGCGACCCTGGCACCCCAGGACTCTTCTCTGCCTGAAGGTACCTCAGGTGGAGTTAGTTCACAGACCGGTACTGGCGCCGAGAATGAGACCGGGAATGGCGCAGGGGAATCTACCCTGGCACAACTCTCCACTCTGCTGACGAGGCACAGGGTGTCCAGTGGCCTTGTGTTTGCAGCGTTGGCTGTGACGACTGGTGTCCTCGTTCATCGGTGGCGAGGCGCCGGGAGCCCAGCCTGAATCTTGCTTTGCAGCCTTTGTTTGATGCAACCTCATAGCAACATGTGCAGCGAATTCTGATTGTTCAGAATTTTTGGCCTTGTGTAACAGCGCGCGCCCCTTTGCAAGCCCGGCGGGGATCATTACGAACTCATGGAGGCTGTCGCGATGCATCGAAGCATGTGGATAAGCCGAAATTTTGCTGGCTCCAATTCGATATGCTGTCTGTGACAAGTACAGATAGTCACGTGTAAGCACCGAGCGCACAGATTGTGGTGGTAGCTGGTTGTCGATACGAGACGGCACAGGGGCTACAAGACGCAAGGCTAGGGGATCCAGGCATGGATCCTCATGACAATGAAGCTGACACAGCTACTCTCGAGCGTGAAGCCCTGGGCAGGTGACCGGGAGTCTGTGGGCTCGCTCTGATGGGAAGAGGGGATATAGGAGAGACATACCGGTGGGTGCTCCTCCTCACAGCAAGCCCCGATTCGATTGCCTCCCTCGCAGGATCATCCACGCCTTCAGCGAGTACAAACACACCGCAGACCTTGACCTGATGATCAAAGGACGTGATTTCTCCAGGTGGGAGGCGTGCAGGCAGTCTGGGGTTTCTTGCACAATGGCCCGAGGATGGCTGCTGTTGATTGATCCAGTGCACTTGAAGGATTGACGTTGGGAGCCACGCCCACCCTGCAGGCTGAAGCAGGCACATAAGGACCTGCTGCCCCACTTCCATGCCCACCTTCGGCAGGCATCCCAGGGAGTGCAGCACAACCACATCTTTTTGCGGTCTATGCTGACTCAGCTCCTCGAGGAGGGCCCCAACTCCTCTCCCTTCCTTCCTGGGGCTCTGAGCGCCGCAGAGGAGTATGCAGCGGGTGTCAATGGCCGGGTTCTCCCCCAGGACGTCGAGAAAGTCAGGTGGGATCAATGCCAGGGTGAGAGTGCTTGCTTTGTTCTGGACATCGGTGGTATAAGGGCGGGTGGCGACACGGCAGAACGGATTCACAAGACGGCATGGTTCCTGATCTTGCACGCCCTGCCTGCTGTGAATCTTTTCAGCTCCGTCCTCCGCTTCCTGCCCTGCTCACACAGTGTGTGCTGTTCATCACGCCCCGTCACATCCCCAACTTTGCCAGGTACGTCTTGAAGAACCTGATGAGAGATTGGTCAGAGGAGGGGGCGGCAGAGCGGGCCGCCTCTTATGGACGGATCATGCAGGAGGTCGAGTCCATCGCCAGCCGCCAGGCCCCGGGCCAGGTCCCACTGTCCATCCTGGTGCCTGGGGCTGGACTGGGGAGGCTGTGTGCCGACCTGTGCTCGGTGCGGGATAGGGATGCTGAGGGGTACGGAGTGTTATCGCAGCCTGTGGGTGCTGTCAGCGATCGTCAGCCAGCCTGCCGCCATCATGGTAGCCCTTCACTTCGGAAAGTATGCCACCCATGCAGATGGGCCATCATGTGCTTGGAAATGAGTTTTCCTTCTACATGCTGCTGGCCTCAGCCTATGTCCTGAATCACAGCGCTCGACTGCATCAGGTGCGCAGGAGGGCGGGTCTGCATGCATGCCTGGCTGGCGGCTCCTGGGTGCGTTGGCCAACCAATACGCCATCATATCCCCCACAAACCTCCCTTTGCACCCACCGACAGTGGACGGTGCACCCCTGGCTCCACTCTGGCTGCAACCACTTCACGTCGGCGAGCCAGTTGCGGGGGCTGGCCATCCCAGACGTTCTGCCCGAAGACCTGACAGGTGCTGGGACTAGGGGGTTGAGGGTGTGGGGACTGGGGTTCGTAATCGAACAGAGGGGATGCTGGGCATGCCAGGCGGGTGCAGATCGCTCTGTAAAAAAGCAACGAGCATACCTGTCCTTCCTCCTCCCATACCCCTCCTCGTCATCACCAGCGCCTGGGGAACTGGGCATGGTGGCGGGCGACTTTGTGGAGGTCTTTGCGCGACCAGAGTACCAGGCCGTCTTTGACGTGGTGGCCACCTGCTTCTTCATAGACACTGCACATAACGTCATCGACTATCTAGAGACCATCGTCGCTGTGCTGAAGGCAAGGATGGCATACCGGCTGGCCCTGCATTGAGGTGCAGCAGATCCCTGGCATCATGACAAGGGATGGGAAGTCGGGACGGATGGATGCTGCTCGACGCCGCTCCTGCATGGCCCAGGACCTCTCCCTGCATGGAGCGTGAGGCGTGGGCAGTTAAGATTCATGACTTCCCCCTTCTGATCCCCCTCGGCAGCCCGGCGGCTCCTGGGTCAATCTTGGGCCGCTGCTGTACCACTGGGCCGAGCCCCAGGAAGGCCCTGACGAGCCCAACATCGAGCTGTCTCTGGAGGAGATCGAGGCTGTGGCTGGGCAGCTGGGACTGGTCATGCAGCGCAGGGATGTAGTCAAAGCACCGTTTGCGAGCAACAGGCAGTGAGTGAGAGGGTGGCTGGGAGGGGGGGCTCATGGCGACGCGCCCCACGGCTGTGCAATTACGCCAAAGCCTCTGCAGAGCTAGGACAGGTGTGTGATGGTCTGCTGGGTGAGAGCCTGTGCGTTTAAAGCTGCACAAACCGTTCACACCTTCCCACAACCCCCGTCACAGGAGCATGTTTGAGAGCACCTACACATGTTCCTTCTGGACCATGACCAAGGGGCCAGGCAGCTGAGCGCTAGGGCTGGCATGTTGAGTTCGGCCTCTTCATCAGTACTGTCCATGCCGCGACGGTTCCCTATTGCCCTGGCATGACTGCCCCAGCGTGCTGTCCGCCAGGCGTGATACAGTCGTGCGAGGACCATGCGCACACTGAGCCTGGCATTTGCGCGAGGATCGCACTGCACTACCTCCCGCGCAATCCTCCCACCCCGTCCTGTGAACCACAGATTCGAGGTCTTACATAGTACTGGGCCAGAGAGTCCACCAGCAGCAGCAGCGAGCGTCAGAGGAAGACCCCACCCTCATGCCACAGCAGTGTCGAGGCAGGAGTAGTCCAGCACAAAGGTTGGGGCGGTGAGGTGCGAGGACCAGCCTGAGATGGGCTGCCCCGCCTCCTGCCCTGCCCTCAACTGCAGGACATGGCCGAGGGATCGAGGATCGGGCGCGGGCTGGTGTTCCGTACAGCCCCAAAATCACCCACCTGGATCACGCGCAGCGAGCCGCGGATCTGAAAGCAGGGATCTCCACAAACTCATCCCCCCCCCCCCCCCAACTCACTCCCCAGACAGACCGCCCATCGCTGCCAGATCCACCCACCTCGGAGTCCCAATAACAGAACACTCCCTGCTCATATGTGGGCGCCAGGACCTGCGTGATGTGGAGGGGTTCATTGACTAGGGCACTTGAGAGGCCAAACATCAACCCCCATGCACCTTTCCAGTGGTTGGAAAGGCAGGCAGCCTGCCCCATCTCCCCTGGTGCCGGCCCGCGCCGCAGCCTCCTTCACCTTGGGCTGCTCCGCTCTCGTCATCCAGGTGTGCAGGGTGGTGTGCCACAGCCACCCCCTCGCATGCAGCTCCTTGATCGCCGCAGCCTGCCGCAGCGTGCCCTGTGCTCCATGGCAACCAGATGGGGGGGACTAGGTCAGTCAGGGGACACCAGGGAGGGGAGAAGGAGGAGCCCATGACAGACCCCTTGGGCGTGTGCGCACTCAAGCAGTCTGCCGAGGCATTTTCCTGGCCCCTCCCTGCGCCAAGTGAATCCGGGCCCCATTCGCACCGGCTGGAAGTAGAAGGCGAAGAACAGCGCGTCGTCTTTGACTTTCTCAAACGGCACGGCGGAGCCGGTGCCGGACTGCAGCGCCTGCGAGTCGGGGGGAGGTCGGGAGGATCAGGCGGAGGGGCCACAGTCAGGCTGCCCAGGGATGGAGATGGCAGGCCCCGGGCGCTCGTGGTCCTTCGCCCTGGCCGGCCCCAGGCGCTCGTGCCCTTTCGCCCTGGCTGGCCCCGGGCGCTGGTGGCCCTTTGCCCTGGCTGGCCCCGGTCGCTGGTGGCCCTTCGCCCTGGCCAGCCCCGCGCCCCGCGGCCTTTGATGCACACGGAGTCGAGGCATGATGGCCTGCATAGTGCCCGCCCGCCATGCCGGGCCCACTCCACCATTCCCCCCTTCCAGCGGCTCACCAGGGACGCCTGCTCCAGCCCAGACAGGTTGCCGCCCAGGTCCCGCCACATCGCGTCGTCGGCCGTCGGCCTGCGCAGGCACGGGATGGGGCGTTTGGTCGCACCCCCGGCACCACGCCCTGGAGCCTCCGTCCACCGGCGGCCTTCTTCCCCTTTCCTGTTTGCCCCCCAACCCCCCCTGCCACGCTGACCTGGAGGCAAAGGACCAGTGCAGGGCCTGGATGCAGGCCATGGGCCCCAGGACGTTTGTCCCCGGGTCCTGCAACTGGAAAGGCGGCCCCGCGGCTTGCGCCTCCCTGCAGCGGCAAGGGGAGGGGCGTGCGCGGGCCTGAGACTCAGCGACACCGCATGGGCATTCCGGATGCAGTGCCCCGGTGGGCTGTCGGTGGCGCTGTTCCATGTGGTCTCCATGCCCCATCACCGTGCCTCCCTGGCGGGTCGCCAGTGTCGCGGGGACCCCAGACTCACTCTGCAGCTTTTGCGGGCGGACGGGCAGCAGCCTCTGTCACGGGGGTGCCTGACGCTGCGTGTGGGGGGATAGGGTAAGAAACAGTCTGAGCACTCGTGTGGCTTGCTGTCGTGCAGGTCCCACACAGGAGTGAGGTCGGGGCAGGACTGGCGACGCGAGGGAAAGGGCTGGAGACGGACCCGCGGCGCCTGGCCGCAGGCTGCCCCCCGGCGTCTCGTCGCATGCCGACGACAGTGCGACACGCGTGCCTGCATCCATGGCAGACCAGGCGATGCCCGCCAGCTCACCCGCGCTCGCGGCGCTCGGCGAAGCGGCGGCCGCCTGGGCGTCGGCCGGCGCCTCCTCCCCCGGCCCCCC